TATTCCAGTCACCAGTGATAATCAACACATCTTGATTACATGTTTGGTCAGTTTTAGACTGCAGAATTTGGTAAAGATCTTCAATTTCCTCATCCTTGGCTTTGGTGGTTGGTGTGTAAATTTGAATAATAATAGTATTAACTGATGTTCACTGTTGAAAAAACCAAACTCACATGCTTGGTAAAATAGAGAGTCAAGGAAAAAGAAGACCCTCAATGAGATGGACTGACACAGTGGATACAACAATGGGCTCAGAGGTATAGCAAGGATTGTGAGGCTGGCACAGGACCAGGCTATGTTTCATTCTGTTGTACATAGGGTTGCTATGAGTCAGATTCGACTCATTGGCACCTAACAGCAACAACAGCAAAGGGAAATTGTCTCTCTGATATGGAAATAATCAACGTCTGACCTTCCCTTCTTAGAAGAGCCCATGAGGACCAAGTAGGTAATGACTCCTTCTGCTCCTTGGGATTAACTAGTCAAAGACCTGGGATAATTCCAGCTCTATTTCTCATTGGTTATTTTTGACAGTGACATTGGGCTTTGTCTGTTATCTTGTTATGTACCGTCGAGTCAGCCCTGACTCATAGCGACCCCTCCTTGGGTTTCCGAGGCAGTATCACTATGGAAGTAGGATTGCCCAACCTTCCTTCCAAGGAGTGGCTGGTGGGTTTGAACTGCCAGCCTTCTGGTTAGCAGTCAAGTGCCTTAGCCGCTATGCTACCAGAACTCCCAGGCTTTGTCTAGGTGTCTCCAAATAATTATTTGAAAAGCAAAATTTCAAGCATTTCACCACTTCTGAAATATTTGTTTTCTTACTCATTTATCCCTGTTTTAAACTGTCAGGAAATGTTTTTCCCTTCCTTTCTTTGGCCTCTATTTCTTCTCAGAAGTAGTTCATTCTATAGTGAAAACATTGATTTGTGATGTTTAACATGGTTTTACATATTAGGGACAATCTCGTAAATGAGCTGGTTTCTTTCTATTTCCTGATAACTGTTATTTTAGAGTCATTTGCTAGAGATAGCACTTGCAGTTTACAAATATGTATATAAAACAGTTATAATCCAACAGTTCTTCTATAGGTGTTGGCCTTTTGATGCATTAATCACAGAGCTCCTTTTGAAAAATGACTAATGATTAAAACAACAAAGACAAAGTTCTATTTTGAGTTTACTTTATGGATTTTGTATTCTTATAATAATAACCTCTTGAAAAGAGTTGCATCTAACACTGGGAAAATGCTTTGTTTGCTTATTCCAAATTCTGAAAGGTTTTATTTTGTTTTTGCCTTGTAAAAAAAAAAAAAATTGAATTTCTGTTGATTCTGACTCATGACAACCCCATATGCTTCAGAGTAGAACTGTATTCTATAAGGATTATCAAGGACTCTGACCTTTCAGAGACTGATTACCTGACCTTTCTTCCAAAGCACTTCTGGGTAGAATCGAACCACCAACCTTTCAGTTAGTAGCCAAAAGCTTAACCATTTGGGCCACCCAAAGCATTCCTTTTAGCTTGTTGAATGTCTTAATAATTGGCTGAAAAGGAGTGGAAATCTGGAGAATAAGCAAGGAAGGCAGTACTAGATCAAGAATAAGTGTAGGAGCAAGCACAGATGGCATTATAAATCTCTCCTAAGGTAGACTAAGTGTAAGGAAAAGTGTATGACCTAACATCATGGGGTGACGTTTCCCACACATATGTAGACAAACATTCAGTGTGTTCTGCTGACAGGGAGCACTCAGAAAGCCCTGGATGCAACATTCACATGTGTCCTTTTAATAATATCTTATATGAGTCTTTAGCCAAATGTTTCATTAGAACCCAGGTCAATTAGTTCACAGGCAATCTGTGTGATAATTGTAGCCCAGCTGTTCTCCACCTAGTACTCCTTGGCCCATAAACAGAGCAAAGGTCTGTGCACAGCTGCAGGCTGATGTCAGAGTCTAAGGGTTGGCCTGCCGCTTGGACTACTGTAATAACAGCAGTAAAACAACCACTCCCTCATCTGATCCATTTTCTTCTTTCCCCCTTCCCATTTCTCCCATCTGTCCTCCCTTCACCTCAGCTGACTGTTATGTTTTCCTTTTAGGAAACATAAAACCAACAAACCAAAAGCTATGTAAGCTTCTTTTATTTTTTAAACAGAGGAAACAACCCCATCAAGTTACTCGTGAGGGAATTTTCACATATCCAATTTGATTTTCAAGTCTGATGCACCACAGTTAAATATTCAAACTGAGAGTTGTTTGATTATAAGCAGATGTATTAAAATTAGACAGGTGTAGCATACTGTTAACTTACACAGAAGCTCTTTTGGCTTCTATGTAAAAGAAGATGATCTCTTTTATTTTATTACTGAGTAATTGAATTCATTTAAATGTTCCTGTCTCTGACTTGGGCATTCATATGGGCTATGAACATGTTGTTGTTGTTGTTATGTGGCCTCGAGTCGGCCCCGACTCCTAGCGACCCCTCCTTGGGTTTCCAAGGCAGTATCACTACGGATAGTGGATTGCCCATCCTTCCTTCCGAGGAGTGGCTGGTGGGTTTGAAC